TGTGTGTGTGTGTGTGTGTGTGTGTGTGTGTGTGTGTGTGTGTGGGGCTCACTCAGGCTGGCACATCTGGACACTAAGATTTTTCTCTATTCTTCTTCAAAACAGCTCAAGCTCTGTCAGGTTGCTCAGGGATCGGGCGTGAACAGCTCTTAAGTCCAGCCACAAATTCTCGATTGGATTGAGTTCTGGACTTTGACTTGGCCACTCCAGAACATTCACCTTGTGGTCTTTGAACCATTCTGTGGAGCTTTTGCTGTATGCTTGGGGTCGTTGTCTTGCTGGAGAATAAATCTTCTCCCCTGTCGTAGTTCTCTTGCAGACTGAGTCAGATTATCCTCCAGGATTTGACGATATGTTTCTGCATTCATGTTCCCATCTACCTTTACAAGCCTTCCAGGGCCTGCTGCTAAGCATCCCCAGAGCATGATGCTGCCACCACCATGCTTCACAGTGGACATGGTGCGTTTGTGGTGATGTGCAGTGTTTGGTGTTCACCAAACAGTGTCTAGTCCAGGGGTGTCCAAACTTTTCACTGAGGGCCACATACAGAAAAATATACCAAGGGCTGGGCCACTCACCAGAGGTCCGATATATCGCCTCACCCCTAGTGTGTTAAAGTGAGCAAAATCAATCAAATTTGCTTTCTCAATGTGCCTTTGTTCATATTTAACAGAGAAATGTTTGCTCACGTATGTTGAGCCGAACAGACTCATCATTCAAGTAGAAGGGAGTTGAGAACAGCTCGATGTCTTTCTCAATGAGAGAAAAATATTGAAAGCCAGTGTTGGCTGGTGGAACATGTTCTCTGTAGGGCTGTGCCACATCCAATCAATTTCAGCAAACATCCCAGTATGATTTAATGCAAAAAAAAATTAAGGTATCAAACACGCATTACTACTTTTCAGTTAAATATTTAACCTTTATTCCAACATGAAAAAAGCAGAAAATAACACTTTGATAAACACGTCAGGACATCTTATTTACAGCTAGTAGAGAAGCTTTGCATGTACTGCTTCCCTTTCCCACTAGTCTGCTGTCTGATTGTGAAGTCAGGCTGATCTGGGATCAGTTCTTTCACTGCAGTTTCTCCTCAAAGTTCTCCTCTCAAACGGGTCTTGGAGGAGCAGTGCTCGCACTGGCGCTCGCCTGTAGAGACTAGTCCGGACGGGAACGCGCAGCTTCCAAGCTGAATCTATTTGAGGACGCTGATTGGCTAAATTGTATGTCACTCATTTATATCTTTAATCGGCAATTGGCTAAACTGCTTAATAGACCCGCCTCTTTGGGGCAGTTTCTCCAGAGCCCCAGAGCTGCTGAGATGTGCAGACACGGAGAGGACGTGCAGGAAAAGCAGATATCATATTTTACACATATTAATGGGTGCATTCCATATTTCAAAAACACAAATATTGACAATTTGTATAGTTTATTATTATTATTATTATTTATTTTATTTTATTTGTTGTGGCTCAAGGTGGGGCGGCGCCCTATCACCCTCTATTGACCAGACGCACTGTTGTAAGCACTGACTGAGTTCTGTCATGAGAGACGTTATCACGGACACGTATTTACCCTTTTTAGCAGAAAGGTTGGCCTTTGGAAAAGCACATTTGACTTCGGACTGCGTGGGGAAGTGCACAACATTGAAGTTGCGTAGTTGTGCCCTCGTGCTCGAATTATGTTGACAGTTTTCACAACCGTGTTCATCACATCGCCAAGCTGGACTGTCTTAGCACAGAGGGCTTCTTGGTGGGTGATACGCTGCATTTTAACAGCCTCACCTCCACTCTCTTGTGCTCGCCTTTCATAGCTGGAGCCCTATCTGTTATAACTCCACACAGCTTGTCCCATCTTGTCAATTGCATCTAACACAGCTTCAAACATGTCCTTACCTGGTGTTGTGCTCTTTAGACTCCTAAAATCAAGCAGCTCCTCCGTAATGCAAAAATGATCAACACCCCGCAAAAAAATCAACAGCTGTGCGGTGTCTGTAGCATCTGTACTCTCAGCACAAGCTTTATCTGACACTGTTTTAAGTTAGCTGACGAGTCTTCGATTCGCCCCACAACTGTGTTTCTGGACATGCCAACGTTGTTGAATTCCTGCATTTTTTCCGGGGATATTATACCTGTGACTTTAGTGAGGCACTGTTTTTATGAAGTCACCATCTGAGAAAGGTTTCCCGTGGCGGGCAATGAGTTGAGCTACCTCGTAGCTGCTATTGTGGCTTTTTCTTGTGTTTTGTTAGCACGGAAACAATACTGTTGTTGAGCAAACTGGCTAGCTGCCATTTGCTTCATTTTCTGTTCTAGCTCGGCACCAGTGTAGGACGTGTCGTCATCCGGGCTAAACGTTTCTTTGATTGCTCTTACTTTGTGGAGAAGCTGCCTTGTTCAACACAGTATCTTTACCTAGTGGTGAAACTAAGAAGTATAATACAGTCAAGCGCAAGTTTCAAGTGTGGGCCATATTCCATTATATTTTTGGAATTTGCTGCGGGCCAATTAAAAATGGACCACGGGCCACAATTGGCCCGCGGGCCGTAGTTTGGACACCCCTGGTCTGTAGAAAAGTCCAAGGGGGGTGAATACTTATGCAAGGCACTGTATATGATGATTGTAGGTTTCTGTTCATACCGATGATTGCACAAGTTGATTTGCAGAACTTTTCTTCTTCATCTGTATTGCAAACATGAACATCACTGACTTTCAGAACACAGTTTTAAAACTGTTTTAAGAAACACTGCAGGATAAGGATAAGCCGATCACAAGCCATTTTAGCTCTAGCTTTGGCATTTGGAAGAGTTGTTCAGGTTTCAAGACCATAGGAATAACATGTATGAATTTTGAAAATGGGCGTAGTTCCCCTATAAACTCCTTTGACTAGATTATTGCTGTAAATAACAATTTAACAGACCTGCTTAATAAGTAAGCCACTGGGGGAAATGGGCTGTACCGCTTTTTCTTCCATAGTGCAGTCGTTTCAAATGAACAAACAAAATGTAACTGTTTAATGCCTATAGAAGGGCTGCAAATATCCCCCATTGAGTGTTAGCTATCAGTATCCATAGTCTAAATATCAGTCAGGCTTCATTACATCCTATCAGTGGGTGTGTACAGTGTGCTGTGCTGGCTTCTGTAGATGGTGTGCCGGCTGTTTTCCGTGGACGTAGTGATGGTTTTGCTGGAGCAGCCAGAGAGGAGGCCGGAGGAGTGTCAGGACCCGGAGCTCTCCTGCTTCCTGCCTCACAAGTTCCTGATCCAGAACCTGCTGTTCGCTCGGCGGATGGACGACTCGCCCACAGTCCAAGGCCACGCCCTGGCCTGCCTCGCCAAATGTCTGGAGCTGCCCTCGCTCAACGTCACCTGGGCAGTCCACAACCTCTTCTCTGCCAGTAAGAAAACGCACACTGGTAGAAGTTTGAAAATAGACATTTTTTTCCCTGTAAAGTCAATGTAGATGTGAAGAATTTGGGCTACTTTTGGATCTGAAACCAGGACCCGTTTCGGTAGACAATGCACTTTGTAGCACTGAAGTATGAAACTCTTTTGAATTATTTGAAAATGTAAGGGGATATGTACAGTATATATTTTAAGAGCTGCTCATAAACTGTTTTGTGGACACATTTTCACTGAAGTAACTTGTCTACTCTCTCTGTTTAGCTGGAACCCAGACAGTGTTTGAAGGCGAAATCACAGAAGGTACACTCTTTTGTTTCATTATTACAGATTTGTTGTTTGACTGGCCACAGAGGCTGATGGTGACAAACCCACCAAGTGTTTCTCAGAATAGAGAAGAGTTTGGTTTGAGACCTGTCGTAGGGTCTTGGAAAGATAAATTTTACCAGACAGATAAGATTCACACTTTATTTCAGCCTTGCTTTTGAAGGATAACTCTGGTTTAATATTTCTGTAGTTTTGGTATTCCTATTGGTATTAATCACCTTGTTATAGAAAAAAAAAAGCCAACTACTAACTAACAAAGCTGCAGCAAATTACGGAAACTATTAAGAGCCGGTCAAAATAGCACGGCTACCTTGTAATCTACATGTGTGGCGTTCGCCTATAGTTAGCCATCTGTGTGTTAACTATATCCCTAAACGGGGGCTGTGTGGTCCCTGTAAAGTTTAGTTGATCAATTAGATTAAATCCAAAGTGGCAGTAATGAGAAAACGTAAAGCAGCTTCGTATCATCTTCAAGACCATCCTGCCGGGAGGAGAGCAGTCGGCTGCTCTGGGAGAAGAAATGTCAGTCAGCAGCTGCAGCAATTTGAATCCAGACAGCACAAAATCCAGCATCGGGAGTCTCGGTGGGCTGGTGGAGCACTGGGTCTGACCTGTGTAACGGCAGCAACAGAAAGTTTGTAAATCCGGCAGGGAGTCGGGGCAGTCCCTTGGGACCAGACCCCCCCCCCCCCTGGTGCTGCGGTTTGCACTGGCAGATTTCTTTCAATGATTAAACTTAAATTATGGTCAGATCTTACACTTCGCACTTTTTAAGAATGTAGTGGAGTTTGATACCCAGGCCTTCATGGTTCACTGTCTTGCAAATTGTTTGAAGTGTTGAGGTTTTATGACTGTGTTTCAGGAAGCCTTAGTTCCCAGCAGACTCAAAAAACCTACCGCACTCTGCCGTTTAGGACTGTGGAGATTAGCAGCACAGACGGCTCCGACTGTGACGGTGAGAGAAGCTAATCTGATTTACCATACCAAATTATTTTTATTGTATGCATTCAGTGGCATTTTGTAAATGGATGTGCAAGATCTGTTTACACATTTGTGTAGGTGTGTGTATACACTCAAAGAGATGTATTTTCAAATGCAGCAAAAGAGAACCTGGCTCTCCTCCTGCGGCGGGTAAAAGACTCAAAGACGAATGTGAGAAAATCGGCGTTGCAGGTACCAGAAAAACTGAGCTTCACCGGACGGCTTCGTGTTACAAATTCAAATAATGATTAGCCACCAGTATGTGCTTCACCCTGGCTTTCTGTGCAGATGACCCTTTAGCCTCTGCTCTGTCGTCCGTTCACAGACGCTAGTGGGTCTCCTGAAACATAACGTGATCACTTTGAGCTGGGAGAACCTGGCTACACTGTCGGAGCGCTGTAGGGACCCGGCCTTGTCTGTGAAGAAGAAGGCCCTGCAGTGCATAGGAGAGCTGCTCGCTGTGAGTCTCAACCAGCAGCTCGGAGACACAGTACAACATTTTAAAGATAAAATAAAGAGAGAAGAAAATGTGTTGAACATTTTGCAGTACATATATTTCCTCTGACCACCAGGCTAAACCAGAGTGCAGCGTGGTGCAGAAGGCGTGGCTGCAGGGTGTGCTACCGGCTGTGGTGGACTCGGAGAACTCGGTGCAGGACAAGGCCCTGGAGGCTCTGGACCAGGTGCTGCTCAGCCAGGTCAAACCGTACTCTGCCAGCCGCCACCTGGATGCCAGTCGGAGGCTGACCTGGGACCTGCTGGGCCTGCTCTGCAACGAGTGCCGGAACCTCAGGTTGGACCAGCTACGTTCAGGCTACATACACACTAACATACCTGTAAACTTGTCACCTTTCAGCAAAATTCGCAGTTTCAAAATATATCATCCACGTGAATCGTGTAGATCCGTAGAGGTTTTTTTTTTTTTTGGGGGGGGGTCAACTGGCCAGCCAGCCAGCGTTTCTCAGATTGGAGTGAGACGAGGAGAAAAGGTGATGTGACGTGTCGAGTCTTCAGGCCAATCAGCGTTAAGATGTCTACACCGTCTTCATTTCCCTCTGTTAAACTTTAAGTTACGTAATGTTCCATTACAGTTCAGACTTGCTGGGTTAAGACTAACTAATTTTGTCGACTGTTAACATTCGTCATTATCGCGATTTAGGAGGAAAAAACGTAACGTGATGAAACATGCAGCCCCCCATGTTCCGGTTCAGGTCACTCGTTAACGTTAAACCGGAACACTGGCGGATCTGGTTGCAGGTTGTTGTTTTTTTTTAACTCAAAGTAGAATGAGGATGATTTCGTGGTGATAACGTCTGACTATGAAACATGAGGCCCAGCTACTGATAAGATGATGAGGTCAAAGAGCTTCAGGGAGAGGAGGCTGTTTGTGTAGCGCAGCTTGACGCAGAGCTGAGATGTGAGTGGAGCTGGGCCTGGAAAAAAGGTGGAGGTCTAAACAGACGTGAGTACAGCTTCCCGCTGTCACAGTATTTTAAATATATTGATAAGGCAGGGTATGCTAAATGCAGCCTCTGCTCCAAGGAGATGAACTACAGCAACAAGGGCTCACGTGCCCTCTCATCACACTGCCAGACACTGTTCACTGTAATGACCACAGCCAGTGCAGTTGCTCCTAAGGGCCCTGAAGTAATGAGAGGGTTAGGGAGCCTGTACCTTAATTTCAGCAGGTTGCTAATGCAGAGGTGTGTATAGATTACAGCTATTATTTTATTCTTGATAAACTACTTTAGCCAGAGTAGATTATCATTTTCACTTAAATAATTGACCTGGATTGAATGCATATTAATTGCAAATAGAATATAGGCCACAATTCTAACAGCTTTCGGTCTCAATGGATTTTGTCTAAATAAAGGTTAATAATAATAGAGCTGAAATACTGATTAATAACTGAATAATAAATTAGTTTTTTGCTTAAAGTAAATATTTTATCACTTAAGTTTCTTCTCGGAGTACACCAGAATGCTACATTTTCAAGCTCATTGAAAATAAAATTTTCCTGGGGGAGTATGCCCCGCCCCCGACAGGGTTTCGTGTTTCGGTGCTTGTCACCTTTTTCACCTCTTATGAGTTTACAGGTATGCACTAAAGAACGCGGTTTTAAAATGAAAATGATCTCCATCTACACCAGAGTTTCAGCACCGTTTTTAGAATTTTTATCGGTCCATACTTACACGCCTGAAAACGCATATCAGATGACGATTCACGTGCAGTGGGCATGTGGGTGCCAATGTATTTTCTTAGTTACAGAAAATACAACAGAGTATTATTGTACTCTTTAATAATAATAATAATAGATTGTGCTTGATACTTAAGGTCTTCCTCTATACTTCCAACACACACTCATCAAATTTACTTTAAAAGGAACACTTACAAATCAAGGTTCACTAACTTATGGGTCAATAAATTTGATCAATACACTCTCAGTTTCGTTGTTTTCTGTTCTCACACTCGTAGCTCTGGTGGTGGCTGAAGTCCCTGTCGTACTGGAGAGAATTTATGCTTTTGTTTGTTTACAGTTTCTTTGTGAACTTCACAGTAGTTGCGCAGAACAAAATGAGCATTGATGAGAACAGGAAAGTCCTCCGGTTTGTGTCCATCGCCCTCCTCAAAGCTGAAAACCATGACTTCAGACATCCGCTCCGTTGGGTGGCCGCTGGCTGTTTCCTCCACATGTAGGCAGTAGGAGCATTATATAATACAGAATTTAGCTGCTAGTATAGACAACAAGGTCAGCAACGCCTGTAATTTGTTATCCATGTTGAATTAACCTCTGGTAGTCGATCGGTAATCAAGGCTGTGACGAATCAGGGAAGGCACTGATTTATCTTTTCCAAGACCCTGCGGCAGACATGCAATATTTTTTGGCAACAGCTGAGAACCCAGTGCCACCTAGAGGATTTTTTTTTTTTTTTTTACTTTACTACTCTGTCAGACTGCTAAAACTCATTCAAGTAGCGAACGAATGTGTCTGCATCATTGTTTTCAAAGGTCTACCTTCCTGCCCGTCCAGACTAAAACGCAAACCCCTTCGGATAACAGTGTCCGTCAGTAGAAATTTCAAACGTCTCCATTTTAGGGGCCCTAAAACTCCGGAGTAGTGTGGCCGTTTGGCGTAAATGTAGCAAAAGATGTGCGCTTTAAAACAAAAACAAAGCAGTGTGGATGTAGCCTCAGTCCTGTTTGTTTACAAAATACGAACATGTGAAATAGTCAAAACCCAGTGAATGAGTATTGGCACAATGTTGGGTTTTATCAGGAATCATTTCAAAGCTAACTTTACTGACCTTCAAATGGCGCCATTGCTTGGAGAATGAGCACATCACTGCTGCTGTCTCGCTGACTTTGTTTCTTGTCCCGGGTCTCCAGCCGGTATTTCAGCAGGGCCTTCACCATCTGGTCCAAACAGAACAAGTTCACACAGACGCTCATCACCAACCTGATCTCGCACACTGAGGCCAATCACGCTGCCGGGGCCTGGCTGCTGCTCTCCAAGGTTGTCTCCTCGTCCCCCAGATTGCCCTACGGGAAGATCCTGGACGCCTGGGACAGCATGGTCGGGTGAGAGGGACACGCAATGTTTTTTGAAAACTGCTGAGAACCCAGTGCCACTTCGAGGATTTCTTTTACTTTACGACTCTACTTTTGTTCTTAGTTCAAAGGACGTAACTGCGACAACCTGCTGTCACATTCTGTGTGTGATGGGAGACATTGCTGTGCATTTGAATGAAGACACCAAGGATAGGATAGTTGGTTAGTGAATATGGTGTGGGATGTCGGGAAATTTTACAGGAGGAGTTTGGAACTGTCATAATATCTCTTTCTGTCTCTTCCCTCTCTCCGTCTCTCTCTAGTTGATCTGATGTCTTGGTTAAAGACTTTTACTTTGTCTCTGGAGGTGATCTGTGCTGCCGTGGAGACTCTTTATCAACTCGGCCGCAGCGAAGATGTCAAACAGACTCAGGTTGGAGATCTCGCCTTTTCTTTTTACAACTGCCTGTCATACAGTTTCATAATTCGAAATGTTGGGGTGCAAAATGTGTAGTTCCATGCCATAGTTCAGAAGACAGACCTTTAATAACAGCGCTAACACTAGACAAAAGGAATGTTATTTAAGTTTACTGATGCTGCTTGCATCATCAGTACTGTGAAAAAGATTGTCTCGGTGCAGAAAACTCAATGATCGGAAATTAAAACATGAATGGACATCCATTGCCACAGAATCTAGTGTCACCGTAATGGCCCACTTTATCAGTGTCTGTATTGTTCTACCACAGGTTCCAGAGAAAGCGTTATTTTTGTGTGAGCTGGTACAGAATGCTCATTGTTCATAACAGGAGGATTTGGTTGAAAATAAGTCTATATTATCAATTTGTGAATAAGGGCAGCTTTTTATCAAGTGATTAAGAACATTCTGATTTTTACAGCAAGAATGCTGCTACAGGCACAATTTTATTTCTTTTCTTCTTGGTTCTCTTTGCAATGCTGGGAAATATGTTGGAAAATGTAACCCTCCAGTTGACACATCTCTTCTACTTGTTAATTATATTGTATTGATAAAAGATAATGGAAGTAAATTTATCATTTTTTTTCATTATGAATCATTACAAATATGATGCATTTTAAAAATAGCAGATAGTCACAAAAAATAAATCATGTATAGAAATCAAAAAGATTGATGCTTCAAGATGAATTGCTAATCGTTTTATAATCACATCGTAGCCTTCAGAAGCGATTCGTGAGATGCCTAGAGATTCCCACCTCTACTAACGGGGACAAAAAAAGTGAAATTGGTCCAGTATTGAGAGAGACAGGCTGCAATGTAATCTTATCAGGGCAATTCCTCACAGTCAATGTACGTCCACTGAAAGTGCTTGTTTTTGCCACCGACAGGCTCAGATTATTATTATGGAACATTATGGAAAGGACCTGACAGAGAAATAAAACGCTTTTCTTAACCCCTTGCTTGTGTGTCATGTGACTTGTTCCCGAAAGACAATGGTGGAAACGTGATTGAGAGTTGGGGAAAGAAGTGACGGTGGTGTAGCTTAGTTTTATCAGAAACATTTTTAATGTCCTGGCTGAATATTTAGATGATTTTGACAACTAGGACGCCATGCGAGATTTCAGGGCGAGACTTGTTTGGACACAATAACAAACCGACCGGATCCAGGGTTATGTTAGCCAGCGTATGCTTGCTTTTTTGCCGATATCACATTTAGTTGTCCGGTAGATGAAATGATCAAAGGGAAAAATGTCCAATTGGAAATATGCTAAATAATAAATAGCATATTGAATAGCCTAATCGGCTCCCCAGCGAGATGCATTGCCAACAACGCTACGTTGGGTTGAAATTCCACCTGGCTTGTGAAACAGTCGTCAGGGAATTCTGGGAAATCTATACGGATTGGGCAAAGACTGCCGGCACAATTCCTGTATCCATACAGGGCATATTTATGACCAATATCACCCCAAAATTTTAAAAATCCTTAAACAAAATTCTTATTTTGAATAGTGTTTCACAACTTTGTTTATTGGTCACTAAGACACGAAAACAGGTGAAAAATACCTAAGTTACTCTTTAAATAACAAACAAATAGTTTGTGCCAAATATTCGTGGTCAGTATTAATTTATCAAAAAAAAAATTAAATGATTGCTGAGTGTGTTAAGTTTAAACTTGGAACTGTTTTCATGCTTCCCAAAACATTTTTGGTGGCTTTATCTTCGTATTTATTTTGATCATATACAGAATCTAAACTTGCCAAAGTCACAGCTCATCATCCAGAGTTAAACAGATTCTCCCGATATGATGTCCTACATCATGATTTAATTAAAAATATGACTCTTCCCTAGTTCCCGCTTTCTGTCATTTAATATGTGATTTCTTTTTCTTCAGGCTTTTCTGAACCAGCACTGTGGTGAGCTGGTGTCGGTGTGTGAGGCTTATTTAGCTGGCATCATCCTGAGAGAAAAGGGAGCCCAGAACCTCAATGAGGAGCTGATGGTGAGACTTAACCCTTTGCTTGCTTTTTCTTGGATAAACATCGGCCTGAAAGATGTCTGTTTTTTTTGATCGCGTATGGTTCATTTTATTTGAGATCAACACATACTGTGTACGGAAGTTGTGGCACACATAATTTCCAAAACCATCTGCTGCTCACACTATTCTCAGAAATAGGAGCAACAAAACAGACAATCGCTCTGCTAGTGTCAAAGCCAGACTTTTATAATACAGTCTCGGCCACATCGTTAACTGACCAGTTCAGTTACCACAAAACTTTGGCACATCAGGGTGATAAAAACACATGTGCTCAATCATAGGGATGATAAATGTCTGGGTGCTTTGAATGTTTAAATATAGCCATGGTGGCTTCACCGCATGCTCAAGTTTTACTTTCTATTTTGTATGTATTTTGTATTTTTGGTTTTTACAGCACAAGAGATGCTTTTCAGTTTCTGTTGCTTTTTGGGAAAGTGTTTTAGTGTTCTGACGGAAAGTTTTCTTCTTAACGCTGGATAGGCTCCACACGCTGTCGGCTACTCCGCTGATTATCTACTTGTTATGGCTTGTTTCAGTCTCCTGAAGTGTGATTTAATGTAGCTGGATTCACCATGTAGTTGTTCTCATTTACACATTTTTCCATTTCTGTTGCCGAACATGAAATAGTTATTTAATTATGAACACTACATGTCAACAAGCTGTCATTCCCAAGCTGCTGCACTATGGTTTTTTTCGAATCACTGCGTCATCTGATAAGATCAAAATAAGTCCAGGCTACTGACAACAGCTCTGCTGTGTATTTGGCTATATTTACATTTAGAAAAAGTGATTGCAAGAAATTTAGAGAGGGCTAAATGCTGTTTGCTGCTTCACAGCTGCAATAATGATTGCATAAACCTCACTGAGCAGTTTATGCTATAATTTAGGTGAGGAAACTGCATTTAGACTGTACGGAGGGGTGAAAGTAAGAGAAAAAGATGTTTGACAAAACAAAAAGCAATGAGACACATTGTCCACATTATTTTGCAAAGACCAGGGTGCTGCACCATAGCAGGTAAATGTGGAACTGAAAATGCTCTCTCTTCCAGGTGAAACACCTCCACACTTTGGGTGTGGCGTCACTCCACTGTCCCGCCAAGGTCGGCAAAAGGACGGTGCTGCTTGTGGAGTCCGTCCTGACAACACATTCTGACAAATTGGCTGGTAAGGAGCATGGAGATCTATGGAAATGAGATACTGTGGTTTTCAAATCCACATGATCTGAACCATGGTCTTGCTGCCTGCCGTGGTCCTGCCTGACACCCACTGCTACATTATTAGTAGTAGCATTGCTTGCTATTGCCGATACCATTACTGCTTTTGTTATTCTACTAAATCCACTCCTGCTGTACTAGAAATCGTAATGTTTCCATCATTATTATACTTACTACTCTCATTATATGAATAAGTTCTCTCATATGCATTGAATGTGTTGTAACTCTGTTATGATGTTCATTCTGTACACATGACATCTATCGCACTTCTGTCCATCCTGATAGAGGGATCCCTCCTCTGTTGCTCTCCCTAAGGTTTCTTCCTTCTTTTCTCCGTTAAAGGATTTTTGGGGGAGTTTTTCCAAACAGAACATCCTCTGTCCCAGAACAGAAGATGTCACATGTGTACAGATTGTAAAGCCCTCTTTACAAATTTGTGATTTTGGGCTATACAAAATATATTAAATTGAAATAATGTTTCCCTGTGCGTTCTGATCCAACATCTAGAAACCTGGTTTGGTAGTTAGAAGAAAGAATTGCTGAGAGTAGTGTCAATTGTACTCCTCTCACCATGGTGGGACCACACACGCGCTTGTGAAAGCGCTTTGAGTGGTCGGAAAGACTAGAAAAGCGCAATACAAGTACAGTACAGTCCATTTACACCAAAGTAGATGGCTAGTGTGCACCCAACTTCACCGGAAAGCTGGGAGTCGTGCTGTTCGTGATCAGCATCCCAATGCTGGGGTTTGCTCTGGTTGAATATGAGTTGCTACAGCCTCTAACTGAAGGTCCATCTACAAGAAACATGACCGCTACAGCAGCTTGGAGCGCAGCTAGTAGACTACTAGGCATGGAGGTGAGCGGAGCTCCGCTCCAGAGAACGACCTTTGATGAACTAGTTTTTAAACTAGTTCGTTTAAAAACAGTTGACTGTAGCAACTTAATACTCAAGATCAGCGGTCCCCCCAACCTTTGTTGCGCCACGGACCGGTTTCATGTAAGACAATATTTTCACGGACCGGCCTTCAGTGTGGCGGATAAACACAACAAAATAAAATGATACGATCGGCATGAAAACAAATATAAAATGCATAAAAAAATACAACTCACAATAACGCTGAGTCAGTGGGAGCTCTGAGCTTATTTCTCTGCAACGAGATGGTCCCATCTGGGGGTAATGGGAGACAATGACACCCAAAGTCTGTTCCTTATGTCCAGTCTACTTCGTAATTTTGTTTTGATTGCTGTCACTGCAGAACATCCCGCTTCACAAAGAGGATGTGTGAAATGGAAGCAGGGTTTTCAGTGCTTTAGTGGTGATTTCAGGATATTCAGCCTTGATTTTAATCCAAAACACCAGCAGAGTTGTTGTCTCAAGCATACTTTTAAGGCCACCGTCATTTACAATCTCCAGCAGCTGATCTTCCTCTGACGCCACATATTATGCAGAGCGGGCTTGGCGCGTCAGAATTACTCCTGATATTTAATTAGATTCCTGATATTGTCTGTTAAGTTAAATTTTCTTTTTCTTGGAAGTTGTAGGCTCTTCTTCTGTCTCCTTAGTGGGCCTTTCCCCCTTTGCAAAAAAGCTCTCCAAAAGTTTTTTACTCATTTTCACTAACTTGCGGGCTTAATTTTTGAGGTAACGTCTCACGTGACCGAGACAAGCGTCTTGACATGTCAAGAGGCACAGGTGGATGAAATTGGGAGAGAATCTGGTCATTTTTCAAAATAAAACTTCTTTCAGACTCTGATAATCAATAAAACGGAAATAATATAATATTTATTCTTTCTGTGTGGCCCGGTACCAAATGACCCAGGGACCGGGACCGGTCCGCGGCCCGGTGGTTGGGGACCGCTACTCTAGATAGCTATTTTTTGTGCTTTGGTCTAAATCTGTGAGATAACCACGCCCCATGCATTTGATTATAACAGATGGAAATAAATGTGGCATTGTGAAATATAGTCCCTTGAAACAAATGAAAGTAGTCCTTTTTGAAAAATTTCCTTTTTTATGAAAAATATTTATTTGTTGAACTCTATTATTTATATATTTATTGCCTCGTTTATTTATTTCAGGATTTGTTTCATAGCCATATTTATTCATGTATTTAATTGTTGAATGAAATTGCATTCCAAACTACTGACAGATCTCATCCAAATGAATGGGACGGCTACATTTCTTCACACGGGGGCTTCTGTCGGTTTGAACGTAGCCTAATACGTAAAAGACCTGCCAGTATTTACTTTGTCAAATCATTTTCTTCAACCTATCATACAGAGTATAGCCCGACTGATATCAATATTGATATTCGGGAGTTTCAAAAAATCTGATAACACACATTGTATTTTGTGATACTACTTTTGGGAGTAGCCACAGAAAAAACAAAACGAAACCTACACTTATGTGCTTTAAAAATGTAACATCGCCTGTATTCTGTGGTAACATGTTCTTTATGTTGGTGACAGAGTGCCAGGAGGAGCTGCCAGCATCGCTGCCTCTGTCCCAGTTTAAAGCAAACTCTCTGCCTAGCAAAGTGAGAGCCCATGGAGTCATCACTTTAGGTAAACTGTCCTTCCCTGACTCTATATCAGCCTACTCTGTCTCTTTTAGTAATGTCTGATGGTATGTGTCCAGAAGGAGTTCTTTTTGGACGTGAGGGGCTATGCCGCTTCCCAGCATTGGACACCTAATAGGCTGCCACTAGGCACCTGATACCGAAATGTGTGTCTGAAATAATTTTAGGCGAGAAATAAGCCAAGCAGTTGCTGAATCTAAATGAAGCATAATTTACTAAGTGAACATCATGCTGTATTGAAGCAGACTTTTAAACTCGAGATTGAGACCATAAACTCATGTTTACGATGTTTACTGAGATAATACATCAAGTGAGAAGCTGGGTCACTTTCTCAAAGACTGATTTCTTTTTTGCAACCAGAGGAGTGGCTCCTGCTGGCCATTTGAATGAATGCAAGTTTAATGCGCTTCCATATTGGCTCTACTTTTCAGGACCGGAGGTTGCCGCCTGCTGCTTACATAGACAATGAATAGGAAGCGTGGAAATGATGGAGCCTGTGTACATGTACCATTAGAAACATTGTTCATAGCCTTAACCTCCATGCATTTCTGCTGTCTCATTACACATCTAATGTTTTCCTCTCTGTTGGCGTCCGTCCGGGCTCAGGTAAACTGTGTCTGCAGCACGAGGAACTCGTCCAGAAGTGTCTGCCGGTGTTTGCCAGGGAGCTGGAGGTTGGTACGGAGGTTGCTGTGCGCAACAATGTGGTTGTGATTATGTGTGATCTGTGCGTTCGATACACCAACATTGTGGATCACTATATCCCCAACATCTCCGCTTGTCTGAGAGACAGTGAAGCTGTCATCCGGGAGCAGACTCTCATCATGCTGACCAACCTGTTGCAGGTAGGAACTGTTATACACTTTCTTCACTAGGCTACAGTTTGAGAAATGTTTTTTTGTAATTATTCATTGCAGTTTCATAAAAAAGAAATGGGGTGATATCTATAATTTTCAACTGCAAGGCGTTTTTTTTGCTCTGTTCAATAACAAAAGATTTCGTTTTAATTCGGTTGACCTGATTTAACAAGCAAACAAACAAGTTATTTGAGAAAAATTATAAAATATTCAAGGCATTTTCAGGCCCCCTGCATTTGTCAAACATCAACATAAATCAACTGCACTCCAAAACCACAATTAAAAACCACTGACTGTGAGACATTTTTTTCATTAATGGCAATAGACGGCGTGCTTTTCTTTAAATAGTTTAGCAGAGTTTGAAAATAATGGCTAAAGAAACATCAGATTGCAGATTAAAGGTGCAATGTGTCAGATCTGGCTAGAATTTTTGTTTAAAACATAAATAAAAAAAAGTTTGTGACCATATTTGGACTGTGGGGGAGTGACGTAGAGACGTCGTATACGGCTCTGGTAGCGACTTATCAATCGCACAAGTTCGCCCTAAAGCATACCCTGCTTTATAGTCTACTTGAAACTAGAGATTGAGACCATAAACTTATCTTCACAATGTTTACTGAGGTAAGAAATCAAGTGCGAAGTAGTCATTTTCTCATAAACTTCCATACAATCGGAATTATTTTTGCAACCAGAGGAGTCGCCCTGATGGCCATTAGAAAGAATGGAGGTTGAAGACACCAACGCATTGACTTCAGACCAGGTGGCCAGACATTACACCTTTTTAAAGACTCGACTAGGGTTCTGCTTATAGATGGACAGTAAAAAGGCTGCCACATTTTAATCTCAATCTTTTTATTATCCCTGTATTTTAACTATTGCACTATTTTATGTCTTAGATTCTCTTTTTTTTTTTTTATTTTTTTTTTTTTTTACATAATTGGCATTGTTGGAGGTAAACTCTTACGATTTTCTTTGCCAACGACTGACTACTTCTTTGTAATTGTTGTGCATATCACAACAAATAACAGCTACTAGGCTTTTCTCGGGGAATCTTTTTATGAGGCGGGTTTTTCAGTATTCCTCTAATTGCCGGTCTTCTCTTTTTTTCCAGGAGGAATTTGTGAAATGGAAGGGCTCCCTCTTCTTTCGCTTCATGGTGGCGTTGGTCGACCCGGTCCCTGCCATCGCCAGGTAAATTCCACTGCACAGATAAAAAGATGACTCGGTAGATCATTTCAAAATATAACATCTAAACATTGATACAGGGTGAGCTGTGTTTTCTTCTGACTATGAAAATTAAAACTTGTAACTTTTTTGTACTGCTACTTTCATTTGCTACCTATTCTTGCCTTAAAGGACTTTTTCTTTTTTTTTTTTTTTTTTTTTAGAATTTAAGAATATAACAAAAATTGGAAGCAATGTCCTGTTGTGTGGATCTTAAGTATCCACTTCAACCTGGGCTGCATAATGTATTGTAGGATGTTCCAAAACAAACACATAGACAGTTTTTTTGGGTATCGATGAAATGTTTTTGGCTCTAGGTACAACAAGCACACAGTGACACTTCATACTAGTATTGTTACTATCTAATATCGCTCTGAACACCTAAAGAAATCCGGTACGATATCAAAACATGTTTTCTTGTCCCAGTCTGTGCGAATACTGCCTGCTCCACCTGCTGCTGAAGAAGAACCCAGAAATGTTCAGCCAGCACTTCATCGAGTGCATCTTTCACTTCAGCTCGTACAACAAACACAAGTCCTACAACAAGTTCCCTCAAAGTGAGAGGTAGGAAGCTGTGTGGATATTAGTTCTGTCATCCTGTTCACATGTTCATATCCTGTTACAATACATGCAAGTATTTCTTTTTTTTGGTCTGTTCATTGGCTTATTTAAAAAAAAATCCATGCAGAGAAAAGGTTCAGTTCTCCCTGAAAGGAGCTCAGCACCGCGAGAAGCGTTTTCGGATCTACCGCTTCCTGTTGGAGCACTTCACAGACGCCCAGCGCTTTAACATCACTGTCAAGATCAACCAGACCATCTTAGGTGAACACGTGTGTGTGGATTGAGATGTAAAAAACAGCTTCTAGCGCTCGGCCAAAAAAAGAAATCACTTGTAACCTCTTACCCTTTCCTATCACAGCATGCTTTGCGGACGAGGAACTGCCCTTGGATGCGGATGGAGCTGAAATTTTGTCAGATACTTTCAACATCTTGAGTCTGAAGGAGATGAAGCTGCAGGCCATATCTACTCCAGCAGGAAGCGCCGCAGGGGAGGAACCTGAGGAAGAGAACATGACCACCATGGCGAAGGCTGTCCTGCAGGTTGCACAGAAGAAGGTGGTGTCTCAGGTGAGCACTGCTGGCCAAGTTAGTCTCATCAAAGAAAAGTTATATTTCTTTATTACTCATAACTCAGCAGCAAGAAGTAGCATTACATGACTAGTTACTTTACATTAATTTCTAAGCTCAGCTACATCAAAGGAACCTAGGGATGCCCCCCAAAACCCGGTTCTAAACAGGAACTGGTTCTAAATTAGTAAAACCTGTAGTTTTGATAAGGTCTGCTATTGATGCTTTTGAAGTTACAGACTGAGATGTCCTTGTCTCAAACCACTCTCTGTCTCTTTGTCTTTGTGCTTTACTCTGACACACACTCCGGCTCAGTACAGTGGGAGACGCACCATGGCAGAGAGAACAAAAAGATCTAAAGCGTAGCTACATTTTACTCCAGTAGATGCTGGATAAATCACAAATGCAATAAAACCCTCACACGTAAGGTAATACCAGCAGTCTATCAAAACATTTGGCCAAGCCGTTTTCGACTGTTTGGCGAGCAGTGTCTATCCTCGTCCACTGCAGGTAATATTAGCAATACAGAGTTTTCTCATGAGAACAGACTACTAATTTATTAGTCTATGAAAGCTAATAACTTAGCTAATTGTTTAGCTGCAAATGTATTTTAAAGATTTTGGAACTTCTTGTCTGCTGTTAAAGAGAGACTTAGTTTATATACAAGAATAATAAAGCAATGTCGATTCCTTTCTTAATTATTTGTTTTTTTTTGTCAAAATAATAAGAGTACCAATAAGGAATCGAACCGATAAGAATAATATCAATAAAATCTTAACGATACCCCAAAGGCACCTACAACTCTTAATCCAACACGTCGCATCTGCTGTACATAACACATGAATAATTAGGAAATTTGACACTGAATTCAAGCAGCCAACCATGGACCTATGCATTAAACAGACATAGGCCTGTATTACTGATGTATGAGTATTGAGTAACTTTACAGAAAACTTTTGGTTGTCCGACTATGAAGGCAAATCAATTTCAAAATCCGCGATCACAAATGAGATTCACCAGCGCGCGTGTGTAGAGGTCCCAAGCTTGCAAATCAGGAGCGAGGAGAGTCCCCTAGCTCGCGACTTATATCACTGCTCTTCTGCGCGCAAACTTTCACTTGCTCGCGAGTAGTTTTCTTTTTGACAGTAAGTAGCCGCACCCAGTCACCATTGCATCACTACATTTTATTGCTTACAATCCTCGCGACACAGACGATAGGTGGCGGTGTAAAGATGGTTTTTAATCCGCCACCGAACACTACTCTACTACATCTCAGAGGTAAATAATTTACTTTACTGACACTACAAACATACGATGACCTTACAGAATAGGATGCATTGCTGTAGATTAAACTAACCAACATTACGTAAAGGAGTTAAAAACGTGAAGCATACCAGTTAATGCAGCAATATAGTATATCCTGAAACATCAGATGGAATAGTAAAACACTGACAGGGAGCATTTTACTGCACAGGTACTTTTTACTTTTGGTACTTTCAGTACATTTTGCTGATAACATACTTGATAAGGTTTTGAATGTAGGACTTTTACTTGTAGTGGATTGTTGGTATTAGTACTTTTAATACAGTGAAGGATCTGAATAATTTTTCATCCATTAATTACTTGCCAGTGATTTCAATTTGGGAACTCACTTGGCAAACAGTTAATGTGGTCCCTAACCTTGGCTCGAGATCCTTGACCGGGTCAAAATTCTTGTAGAGAAGTAAAAAGTAATATATTCACCTCTGAGATGTGTTCAGTGGCGGATTGAAAACCACCTTTTTATCGCCACCTAGCATCTGTGTCAGGATTGATATCCGGCCAATCCAAAGACGAGGATTGTAACCAATTAAATTTGGTGATACAATGGTCGCTGGGTCCGCCCACTTACTGTCAAAAAGAAAAACTACTCTCAAGCGAGCAAGTCAAAGTTTCGCGAGCAAAAGAGCTGTGATGGAAGTCGCCCACTAGGGGACGCTCCTCACGCTCAAAGCATGGTTTTCTCCTCGCAGGCTGCAATTTTGCTCGTGCGAGCAGATGTGAAAGTGTTTTGTGCTCGCTGATTGATTTGCCTTCATACCCGACACTGGTTGTGTTAACTGTCCATCATTTTAAAAGCAGTGCCGGTGTAGCTGCGCCACTGGTGCATGAGGAGTGCATGCTGCGGGGTTTCCTCCTGAAGTAAATCCAATGTTCAGAGAGTCTGGTTAGTCCAGTCTCCAGTGTAGCAGCAGAGCGCGGGTTCAGCACTAGCTCTGCATATTTACACATGAGGGACAGCAGCGTAACTTCACTGATTACACCAAAAGCTAAAAGTTAAGTTCTCTCTCCTCTGTCAAGTTCATAACTACAGTTAGTTTTGCTGCTTAAAAGTCCCACAATATTTGCTGCATGCATGAAAATGCTCACAATTCTGAAACCAGCCTCTTTAATCATTGAAGTAAATCGTTAAAGATAACGCTCATACATCAATACAATACTTGCAGTAAAGGTCAACATAGCCAACAGGGATTGGTAGAGGGGGAGTGAAATGTGCATGTCTCTAAACATGTACTAGCTAGTCAGATCCGGAGTAGGGCGGGTCATGCCTTCTGCATAACAATTAGCCATGTACTTCTGTTTGTTGCAGTGGTCTTGGAGAGTTCAGGGTTAGTGCACAATTTACCATTTGTCTTGCTACCACTGCTTTTAGCGCACAGTTTTATCCCATTCTGCTTTTGCATCTAAAGACTGCTTAAAAGCTGTGGGGATAAGGAGTTTGGCTCCAGTTTTTTTTTTTTTCCTTGTCCCGTTGATCGGCACATCTGGGTGATGCCGTTGATAGTGCTTTACGCATGTTGGATGCGTTTCTATTTACATAGCCAACAGTGATGGAGCAGCGCAGACACAGCGTCCTTGTCTTATGCGCAACACAATATACATAATATATTTATAATTTTTAAATAAAGCGGCTATGAGAAATCGTCTGTCCGGGACAAAGACAGAAAAAAAATCCTTCATCTGCTTTGTGTGTTAATGTAATTAGTGACCGTACGGTTGGTGATGTGTGTATTTTCATCTTGTCCTGTATATTCATCATTAAAATAACATTCATACAGCGCAGCGAGCGCTGCCGCCGCTTTCATTTATGCTGCTGTCTCTCCTGAGTCCAAAACTGAAAATGCATTAAAAAAATTCAAAACCTATTTAAATCTTACGAAATATCCTGCTTCAATCCATATTTGTTGATGTTTTTCAAAAGCATTTTCACTGCGGTCAAAAACTATATTGCTCTCCCACTTGCTGCCACACAGACACAAAGAAAGGCTTACAATGGTATTGACAACGCTTCATTCCAAAACCTCAACAAAAGCTTTGAATATAAAACGAAATTAAGTATAGCCCTGGTTGCTCTGTCCAATCAATGTTTGTTTCACCTTTTTTTTTAATTCATTGCACGTGTGTGCAACAGCGGATCATGAGGAAGGATTAGAATCGAAGACTCCGCCTTTGGCCTATGTCTTATAACTGACTTTCTGCAACCCCTTCTGACGAGAAATGCAAAAACTGGTCCGATACCAATACAAGCCTATACCAGCTGTTAAATACCACTGTAAAAATTCTGTGGAGCGTTCGGGTTTGCTCCTCTCAGCTTCCTGCTTTTGATCCACAGGTCCAGAAGAAGGCCTTCATAGAGAACACAGTTCCTCTCATCATCGGACTGAAGAGCCTGCTGGAGGAGAAACGTTCTCTTGTCCTCGGAGACCTCATGGCCTACCTTCAGGTGAGACCACAGCACAGATGCTCTGCATATTCATTTGAAGAGGGAATTGATGTGCAGTCTGATGTATGGCCCTGCAGCAAGAGGCTCCTCTTGTAAGCCTGCACCTAACCTTTGTTTGGCCCTACTCCAGGTGACGATGCAGGAATACCGTAACGAGGTGAAGGAGTTTTTCTCTGGAGACGAGCAGCTGGCGGCTGAGCTGGAGTTTGCTCTGAAGACTGCTGCGAAGGAGATAAAGATGGTGGAACAGATGGACAACTGCAGTTTGACAGGAGACGCCAGGACTCCCACTGCACAGGTCAGAAATCTCAGAATCTACAATGAACACAAAGTTTTAGATACTGAGTGCAACTTTAAAATAAACTTGTATACAAATACAATAAGTGCTAAGTGGAAGGCTCAGTGTAGTACTTCTTGAAGAGGTGAGTTTTCACCCTGCGCCGAAAGATGGGTAGCGACTCTGCTGTCCTGACGTCAGTGGGGAGTTCATTCCACCACTGTCGGACCAGGACAGAAAAAAAGCCATGACCGGGTCGATCGGCCGCAGGGACATCTGAGTGACAGGGCAACCAATCGCCCCGAGGCAGCAGAGCGAAGTGGTTGGGCGGGGGTGTAGGGCTTGACCATGGCCTGGAGATAGGAAGGAGCTGTTCCTTTCACTGCCCTCAGGGTTCGTACGGTCATTGAAAACCTGGAAAAGTCATGGCATTTTAAAATGGTTATTTCCAGGCCTGGAAACGTCATGGAAAAAAAAATAAAATCCCAAAAGTTTTGGAAAAGTCATGGAAATTTGTTATATTCATATTTTCGTGTTGTTCATTTACGCTGAGTTGCCAGCCAGCGTTTCTCAGATTGGAGTGAGACGAGGAGAAAATGTGATGTGATCTTCGCAATAGAACATCTTTGATGTGTCGAGTCTTGGCCAATCAGCGTTCAGATGTCTACAGCGTCTTTATTTCCCTCCGTTAAAGTTTGAGTTACGTTATGTACCGTTACCGTTCAGACTTGCTGGGTTAAGTTAACGTCCACAGCATGGGGAACTTTGTCGACTGTTAACGTTCGTCATTATCGCGATTTAGGAGGGAAAAGCGTAGCGTGATGAAACATGCAGCCCCCCTGTGTTCCGGTTCAGTTCACGCGGTCACTCATTAATGTTAAACCGGAACACCGGCGCATCTGGTTGCAGGTTGTTTTGTTTAACTCAAAGTAGAATGAGGACGATGTCGTGTGTGTGTGTGTATATATATGTGTGTATATATATATGTGTGTGTGTGTGTGTGTGTATGTATATATATATATATATACACATATATA